GGTGCAAGCCCCTTACAAACGAATTCTTCGCAGCAGTCTGTACTCTCTACGCATCGTCGGCCACTTCGCCCTTTGTAGCCATGCGGCCGTCGTCAATCACTCCAGCTTGCCGCGCTTCTCCAATATGTCCACGATCTCGATCGCACGCTCGAAGTGCTTCTTCTGCTCTCTACTGGGCTTCACGTCGCTCTCCATCCAGTCAACGTTGCACCCCTGTGGTGCCGTGTCCATCGTGTTCATCCAGCGCAGGCTCTCGCTCTGGTACATGATCCCGACATCCTTCCCGTAGAAGTCTCCTCCACCCTCCGTCGGCAGCCCTTTGAGGAGCGACTCCAGTTCTTCCACCAACGCAGGCGTCTCGTTGAATCTGACGTAGATGAACTTTTGAGGGTATGGCTGGAGTAATGGTGTTCCGTCTGGCCGCACCATTGAAGAAAGCGTGATCGTGGGTGCACCAGAGTCCAGGTGGAAGTTATGTACCGCGGAAGGGTTCGGGGGCGCGAAGCCGCCGGCGATGCCTGAACTCTTCGTCAATACGGTGATCCTCAAGACGCGAGGAACCGTTACTTACCGTGCTGGATGCGGAGGTCAAACGGCTTGATCATGACGGTGGGTAGTAGAGAACGTAGATGCTGAGATGGTACACGTTGAGCGCGAGGTAAGGTCCGCCAGTCTTGACGCGGCTAATTGACAAGGGCCAAAGCTGACACGACTCCAACTCGAGCAGAGACGGACGGACGTGGCATCAGATGGGAACGTGTCCGCGGGAGATCGTGCAGGACCGACTTCGTAGCGCTCGCCTTCCAGAGGACACGCACGAAGCGCCCGCAGTGCGGTTTCAGACGCTGAGTAGTGAACGCGGAGTCGTACGTGTTATGGCGCGCTTCTCGAGGGCGAAGACAGAGGGATGGGCTCGTGCGAAGCTCAAGCGCTCAAGCATCAGCGAAGCCGGAGTTGTCCAGAGTGGTCGTATTTGGGAGTGCTGAAAGACCAATATCGACTGTTCGTAGGGCCAAGAGACCGCCCGGCGCCCCTGCAAGATCACTCTCGATCTTCTGCAGGCTATCCACGGACGTTCGTCCAGTGTATGTCGATGTCGTGGGAGAGAAAGGGGGCGACAACAGGGTGATGCTTGGGCTAAAGGCCTCGAGAAATGGCCGTGAGGATCGTCCAATAAGCGCCGTCCGCTCTGGCTTCCGTATGTTGTATGCCGAGAAGTCGACGGATCTCGCCAGAGTTCGCAGGATGCTCATGCAGTCGTTTGCGTACAGCAAGTACCTGTGTTGATAAAACGGCCCATCTCGCGGCTCCGATGAGTAGTCGCTGCCTGGTTTCAACCACTCTTCCAGCCCTGCATCCCTGATGATTGATATGAACTGTGGTGAAGGAGCTCTTCGCTCGTTTCGTAGCATTGGGTAGGCGCTGTCGATGTTCGTCATGATGGAGTTGGGCGCGTCTCGTAGAAGGGCGGCGTCTTTCGGGTTGTCGGCGCTTAAGGCTTCCAGGACGTGCGAGACCATGGTTAGTGCACTGCATGCTGCAAGATGCGCGATGTTCTCCGGGGCAAGGGTGTGCTTCCATGATTTACAGCAGCTCTCGGCGTGTAACGGTACGAGGACGGACTCGGCTCGACATAACCAGCTGTTCAGCGCGAACGAGTAGTGGCCTACGGATAGCAATACATGGAGGACGCTGGGATGGCGGTTGTTGAGGGCAAACTCCCCGCTCGAGGTGTTATCGAAGGACGAGAGCGCCTGGTCTTCGGATAGCGGTGCAGTAACGATCTTTTGCGATGCGTATCGGTAGAGATTCAGGAATGACCACCGGACGTTGGCAATGCACAGCCGGGCGCGCAACTTGGCTTCTCCGTCCACCACAGCGAGTCTTGAGACCAAGCCGAGGGTGTTCATGTAGTATCCCGACGTGCGGCTCATCCTCGACGCTGAACCAGCACGCTCGACTTCAGACCGGAACATTCTTTCGGATAGGAGAGATAGTAAGGTGAAGAGGGAGGGATCGATGGCATCTTTCATACGGTTTCTCATATGCCAGTACAGCCTCTTTGCGAACGCGTCGTCGGCGCACAGGTGGTGGTAGATGTGCTGATCCGCTGGTCCACATGGTAGCGCGAGGAGGCCTTTGACCATACGCTCGAAGGATTCGTCCGGGACGTGACGTCCTGAGCAGTCCCAAAGGAAGATGGTTTCATCTGAGGCGAGGAACTGGTGCCCGTCCTGAATGCGCCGCGACGCGATTTCGTGTATATCAACTGCTGGCGCGCGGTAGGGCCAAGGCGCGAGGTCTTTGGGGCGTAGTGGAGGGAAATGCCTGCGCCCAAACCGTTTCGCATGTCGACCACGCATAAAGCCCGATCCAGTAGGCGTAGGCCATCACATACGTGAAAGGAGTGCGATACGGGCAGCTCTTGTCGATCAATGGAAGTAGGCTTGCCAGGCAGTATAGCATGGCGAACGTCCCGAGAACGCCGAGGGCGACGGCCGCAACGGTGGTGTCGATGGGAAATAGAAAGACTGCGAGCCCGATGACGAAGAGGAACACCGCGAGATGTACTAAGGCCACGATCCACGACACGAGCTGGTCCATCCCGTAGCGGTTGATACCCATGCGGATGAAGATATGGTTGTAGACGCGGGTTTCGAGGTCCTCGTGAAGGACTCTGCGCCTGTTGATGTCGTGTACGTAGTCGCGGGACCATTGTTGTGCGAGTGTCGAGAGTAGAGCGCAGAAGAGGGATAGAAGCAAGCTTGAGAACCAAAGCGCATTCGTGATGATCGCGGACGGTGTAGTGCGGAATGGAGCGGGCGGCGCGACGTTGAGGGGCAGGTGGGAAGACCCGTTGACCGAGACGGACAGTATTTGTGAAAGTAGCGCGACAGATTGTTCACCGGTGTCGGGCGATAGTTGCTTGTAACTTTCGAGCGTGAACGCGGCGACGGTCGCGGCGAACAAACCAGTCTACAGTGCTGCGAGTGAGCGCGCGATTCTGATTTAGTGGCAGTGCCACTTACGAAGGTCAAAATTCCCGCGGTATTTCCCTCCCAATTCTTCGGTCGCGCCTGGTCGTCATCTTGAGCGGCATCCAGGTAGGTCGACCAGATGATGTTGGTAGGGTTATCGGGCGACGGTGTCCTGAACGCAGACATCCGCAGATTGAACGGGTAGGTGAGGGTAGGAAACGAGGCGCGCTCGCGGAAGAAAAGCCGTGCCCTCCACTGTGCGTGCGACCGTCGGGACAGAGTCATAGGTAGAGGAAGGCCGAACAGAATTGGAAGCCGGTGTGATCTCCGTTCGTTGCAGGCAATTGTGCCCAGCGCGCCGACTTAAGAGCCTCATACCCACGTGTGCGCGTCCACCTGGAAGAACATCGATCAGGATGGCCTTCCATATGGAAACGCCATAGGAGATATAGCGCCATATGCGGTGAGGGTGTCGCATCCGTGTGAGACTCGTCAGAGAAATCCTGGCGCACACGGTCTTTCAGCTTTCGTGTGTGCACGGCCCGTAAATGCCAAGACTCACTTATACAGGTGCGCGCAATGAGTACAAGTGATACAGAAGCCTATGATGGGCCGTGCGTCTATGTCAGTATCCGCCTCTATGCCCCGCTGAGGCTGGAAGACAAAGAATAAGGCTAGTTCCCGATTTCAATTCCGAAGACTAGCGAAGGTAATGCGATGAGCCTGCGTTTCGCCCGGATGGTTGAACTTGAGCGATACTGCCTCTGGGCACGCGTCATCCCATGCGACTTGCGTAGTCGAGCTCGCAGGCATGTATTCGCGGGGATCTTGATCATAGAGAAGAACGGGTGGTCATTGTGTATATTGGGGTGAACGGTCGTCGTGGTCAAGAAGCAAGTCGCGTCGTGGGCTTCGCGCCACATCTTGAACTCTACGGCCACGATGGCGTTCCACATGCCATACTCCCCGCTATCCTCCCCAGTATTCGCACCACCCTCAAACCCATTTTCGAATGCCTCGCCAACAACACGGCGCGCCACGCGCCCACCACTCAGCACAGCCGCAACGTCCGCCCAGGTTCCCGCGAAGCCGGGTGTGAGCATGGAGGATTGGGACGCGCGATGTCCTCTACCAGAAATCGCCACGCAGAGCGTCGAAGCTATCAAAGAACGTGCTACGCGTCCTGTGCGAGTATCTCAGGCGTATCCCGCGTCTGAGGGCGGGAGTACGCGACCCGGGACGCCGCTGGCTAAGGGCTCGCCGCTATTATCGTCGAAGAGTTTGGCCTCGATGAACGCCCGAGCAGCCACACCCGTTGGGAAGCCACACGCGTTGCATCCAACACAACCTATTGCCACACCTCAAGCTTTCTTCGACTGGCTTGCCCTCGTCGATCGCGCGGCCACGCATTCTCAGGAAGCCCACTTTCGCGCACATCTCGCTTCGCTATCCGACCATTTGGACACATGTACTTCGCTATTGACTCTGACATCGGCCGTACAAGCTGAAGTGGACGCGATGCTGGTGGACTGGAGAAGCGTAGAGGAGGGTGGGCGGAGTCTTCAAGACGCGTGTGCGCGTCTACTTGGAGAGAGGGAGGAGCTGGTACGGGCTGAGGAGGAAATAGCCGGAAGGATGGAGGTGTTTGCGGAGCTGGAGGGTGCTACGCGAATGCTGAACGCGCCGGGAGAGAGTCTAGTCATGCGTGGTGACTTCTTGGATATGGTCGAACGCGTCGACGCATGTATCGGCTTCTTGCGAGAACACAGGCAATATAAGTACGAGCTCCTGTTGTTTCTTATATTTGATCCCTTACTGACCACATGCACAGGGAAGCAGAACTGTACTTGTTGCGCTTCAAACAGTGTCTGGTTCGAGCAATGACATTGATCCGCATGTACTTCGTCGGGAGTTTGCGTGCTTTGAACGCAGACGTGAGCAAGCGTTTGAGCGAGAAGGTATAAACACCCCCGCATCGTACTGAATACGGGCTGATCGATGAAGCTAGGACGTGTCCGCAACGGCAACACATCATCTACTGTACACCCGCTTCCGATCGGTAGCTGGTCCTCTNCCTCTGTCCCCGTTACTGGGAGAGCTCGAAGTAATGCCGTCGTACTCGCTACGGCATAATATGCGCTGACGTTTCTGTCAGAGACGAGTCGCCCAGCACCCTGCAACGCTTGGCAGTCACTACTCGCAGTCAGGGGTTTCCAACACCCAGCCAAGAATGGGTCCGGCCGTTCCGAATGGACCTGGCCAGATTTAATCAAAGGCTCGGCCTTGAGCATAAATAAATGCCCAAAACCGGCCAAAGACCGAATTGAACCGAGGACCTCAGGGGAAAGTGACCGCTACCACTCGGCCACAAGACCATGTAAATACGTCTTCTGCGTCTCAATACATACACTTGACGGCCCTCCGCATGTAACGGGCCATTTCGATTTACTCGCGCGAAATGCGCATTTCTCATTTCCTAACCCTACTCGCGTGGCATATCCAGTTTCCCGTTTCGGCGCACACACACTCGTCAGGCACGCATAGCATCATTCCCGAGCCGGACATTCAACGTTCTAGACTACGCCCCGACGCCCTCCCACTCCTCCTCCGACATTAAGCCTGGGACGTCGTCGTCGTCCTCGGACGACTGCTCATCACCTGCTTCCAAACCCTTCGCCCCTTCGTCCTCTCCTCCCGCTGCGCTCCCAGGTGGGCCGGCCATTACGACACCCGGCAGAACATCGTAACTAAGTTGAATATCCGACGCCTTGAGCTTGCGTCTCTTGTCCTTCAAGCTCAAGCGGAATTTGGCATCCATTGCGAGGAAGTCCTTGCGCGAAGCCTGGTGTGTGCCGAATTGTTCGTCCGCATCTACGGGGCTTCGTCATTCAAGTAACTGAGATATCCATGGCTACAGGTACCCACCGCGCTCTCCTTTCCCGCTGCTCGCCGTAGCGCCCTCCCGCTCTTCCCATTCCTGCGCCTCGGCGGACCATCGTCCCAATTCCCCACTGTCATTCTCCACGACCCTTGAGCTCAGCGCGTCGAACAGTGCGTAGTCCATGGTGCAATACCTATACAACGTTGAGTTAATAGATACTGCTTTTAGGTCGAGCGCGGACCTCTCATCCTTCCGTAGGTGTAGGGCGTTGAGCGGTTTATACCAGGCGTGCCTGTCGAGTATTTCGGAACAGGACAAGGTCGTACGGGGATCTCCCTTCTCGACAAGTCGCGAGGGGGCGGGGTTATCAGTCGAAGAGTCCATGGTAGCGCGTTCGTCCCTCACGTACTTTTGCTTATATTCTCTCTCTCTCTTGCCTCCGCTGCCATGCTCCGCCCGTGTCTTACTATACCGTCATATTCTGCTACCCAACCCCCCTCACCCCGTTTGTCTGCACCGCGTCGGCCAGAGTCATCCATCTATCTATGGCATTTGCGCCTCACGCTACCCCACTACTCTGTACATACTAGTTCCTGTTACTTTATGTAGTATAATGATCAATTAATTTTATTGCCTAACAGCTGACCTATTACATTCGACCGTGAACGCTGTGCGACCTCCGCTTCCCCTTGTGCGACGCGGTTGTTCAATCAAGCGCTCACAACCCGCGCTCAGCGCTCAGCACTCAGTGACCGTCAACGCTCGTCTCATCTTGTTCTTGGCCACCATGTTGGACGCCAGTCGTGCACACCATATACCACTATAATAACCATCGTGTTACCAACAGCCCTATAGCTTATATTCCATCCTACGCCGCCTCCCGGCCTTCCTTTTGAACCGAACCGCCCGCCTGACCTCATGCTCGTAGAGAACGTCGCTCTCCCTGGAGCGTTGTCCCGCCATTCCCGGAGGATCGCCTTCCCACATACGCTCGCATACCTCCCCGTGCGTGCGATCGATCCGTCCACTGGAGCCGACGTCCAGATACTCCCTACGCCGCGACTTCCAGCTGTCGCCTTCACGCGTCGGTTCGCCCCCATGCGCCTGACGGAATAAGTTGAACCTCGGCGGGTCGGCGGCTGGCACCGTGAACCTCGTTCCCCGCCACTCCTTTGATGACCTGCTGTGTACGGTTAGACTCAGACTGGCAGCCATTGGGTGATTTCTCACCCAGAGATTTGATTGGGCATTGCCCGCGCCTCCTCCCGACCAACCCCATCTCTCGCTCCGTCCTTTGTTATCGACACTATATACCAGTTCGTTAGGGCGAAAAATCTTCAGACTCGCCGTGTTTGCTCACCGTCCTCTTCATTATCAGATTCGTCCGCAGCCTCCAACGGCGGCATTTCCTCGTCGTCGCTAGTCTTCATCGCGCCGTCCCGTTCAGCCGTGTCCCTCGCCGCCCCTGATGAAGATGGAGCGCCAGAAGACTCGCGGTCCGCGATAGTCATGGCGGACTGAGTTCAAAGGTACAAGGGAACGTTCGTCGACGCCCCATATATGTTCGGCGCGACGGATGCTGAACCGGGTTCAAACCCGCCCCCTTTAACAGATCAGCGTCGACGTATGTCGTCCACTCCCGCGCGCGAACGCTTTCTCGCTCTACTTAAGATACCATATATCATCGACAAGATATATATCCTGTCTTCTCGGTGCGCAGTGTGCTATCGTTATGACTGCGTTTTCCAGTAGTCCGCCAGGACACAGTTGCTTCCGCCCGTTTCGGGCCCCTAATCCGAATCGCCGCTCCGACGGGGCGTTTCTGACACTCCCCGTCTCGATTTTGACCGCCACCACCGGTTCTTGCCCACGACAACCGTCTACAGCCCCTGTAAGCTATGAATCCGTCGTCGACTGAGCTCCATCGCTGACACCACACCTTTGTAGGCCGCCACTATGCCCGGAGCACGTCCGCGCACGGGAGAATCTCCCGCTCGGTCCGACGCGGAGCTCAGCGACGATGAACTGCTCCTTGCGCCTCGTCGCGGTTCCATTTTTCTGACTGCGACAGCTGTCCAGGAAGATGGGACCGAAACTTCCGCTCAGGAAGACGAGACCGAAGACGAGACCGAGGCGTCTGCTCAGGAAAACGAGACCGAAGACGAGACCGAGGCGTCCGCTCAGGAAGACGACACCGAAGCGTCCACTCAGGAAGACGAGTCTGAGTCTTCGGGCGAGGAGGTCGAGGAGCTTCTGCGCCCTGTCCGCCTGCCTACCCCGTCTCTCTACGCCACGGACAGCGACGAGGACGTTATCTACACCAACCCGCGCCCCGCCGCCACCTTTTTTCAGGGCGACCGTCTGACCCTTCTTCAAGACTATCTTCCCACGTACACCGAGCTCCGCGCCACCCATTCAATCCGCTACTCTTCGCACGACATATACGAAGTCTACCGCGAGCGTTGGCCCGAGGACATGCATCGTGTTCGCGAGTACGCGCCTGACCGTCTTCCCTCGGCACGCCCGGCCCGCGGGTTCTGGGAATATTCCCGGACTTTGGTTCGCGTGAGTCCTTCTTTCGTCACCGTCTCGATGCCTACACTCACCGCGCACACGTTTAGCGTATCGAGGCCTGGCTTGAGCGCCACTTTTGCGCCAACGCTGCTGACTTTGAATAAGTACTTCGGGATCTCGCACTCGCAGACTGCCCTCTCTGTACCGCTATCGAGTCCGTTTGTACGCGCAGCACTTTGATCTCTTTGAACTGCAGCGAGACTGCAAGTCTGCGATGTATCCTCACACGATCACCCTCTCGAATCTATTGCTTCTCACCAGCGTGTGTATTGTATAATACAGGCGACTCCGTACTATACATACAACCAAGCATTATTCGTACAGAACATTGCGTGAGCGGCACGGAAGAGTACTACGGCTCAAACGCCCGCGCCGTTGTAGACAGCATCACATTGCGCTTCCAGTATCACCGCCGCCCGACATATGTAACGATGTTCCTGGTGCCAGTTTCTACAAACGCGTGAGCAAGTGTGTCATGGGAGGCGACGCAAAAGCGTATCGTAGTGGTCAGCGTACCTAGTTTGACACGCCTTTGAACAATAAAAGGCCCGCTTACAACGAGAGCAACGCCGCACCGTGTAAGTACCGGTGAACTTCGCACACTGTACGTTGGAGCAGATGTATCGCAAAGCGGACCAGTCGTGTTGAAGTGGCCTCATTGCGTAGAGCTGCGTAGCGCCTAACTCCGTAGGGTTTGACACCTTGAAGCCGCGCCTACGCAGCGCGATGATCTCTTGGAATTGCAACACGACCGCAACCTCAGCCCCGGCCATCGCCTCCGCCGTTAAGAAGAGACCGCCTAAGACCCAGCGCTCGCTGATTTCTGGTAGAGCGGGCCGCCAGAAAGCGGTGTACAGGAGTTGCAAGTAAGCGGAACAGTTCCATGCGGTGTTGCTCGTCAGCGGCAGCCAAAAGTTCGTCTGGTCCGGAACTACGCCGCCGATACTGGACCAGTGTTCGGTCAGACTTAGCCAGCATCAATCCTGGGGTGCCAACACATACCTGTAGACGCAGCGCAGAGAAAATAGCACGCTGAACGTAAAATCGTGCACAGATTCCCATGCGCGTTGGTACTCCTCGCTGGAGCGCCGATCGGACAAGAACCGTGCAAGCCGATTGACCGGGGTCATGAGCATCCGTAGCCCGAGTTCGTCATCGAACAGAGTCTTGAACTTTTCACGCCCCACTCGTATGAGCGCGGCCGCCGCTTGCAGAGAGAACAAGGCGCCCGTATACTTCAACAGCTTCGTTGCCTTCTCCTGTGCGCAATCGTCAATACACGGCGAAAAGGCACTAGACGAATGTGTACTTACGGTGAGTCCCATCGCGATATTCTTCTCCAAGAAGCCAAGTGCAATAGAGATGCTGTACATCACGGTTGGCTCTTCCGCGTAGTCCTCATACGTCGGCACGCGCCCGTCAGCGGCGCGCTCCATACACAGTCGCAGAAAGCGGCGCAGAGGTTCCAGAGCCACGGCACGTGCTCTCCCGTCTCCGACGTACTCTGTGAGATACTCAAGCAGATCGGGGAATAAGTCATAGCGGTGGAGGGACCGCACGTCCGCGGTACGGAGTTGCATGCCTGTCGCAAAGAAGAATTCATCTCGCGGCAGCACTGCGTCTATTCTCCGGTCGTTCGGCCCGCTCGTCCGTTTCGTTCGGCCGGCGCTGTTTGAGCCGTTCCAGGTCATTGCAGGCCCACAGCGTTCCAGCAAGATACCCACCATCAGCCTACGACCACAACAGAATACGTGTACCATGAAAACGATAGCCCTTGCGCCCCGCTTCGTCGAGGAATGGAAGCGTGTAGACGAAGGTGCATTTGCCAGCCATCAGTGTCATCGCCGCGTGTACGCTGACTTCGCTCTCGCCAGCCCAGCTACAGTTAGACAAAAAATGGCTCCGTATTATACACAGCCACTCTGGTCCCGCCCAGATCGAAGCATTGCAAGAGCACTTGCGAAGTACCGCGTCGGAAAGGCTGCAGCTGATGCGGGCGAGGGCACGGATGGTCGGCGCTGCTCGGTCTCTGTCCTACCGTTCTTGACTGACATGAGCACGGCTATAGATTGCATGCTCAGCTTGAGTTACTTTATTGGATGGCATTGCCAGAAGAGCATGGTGATGGAAATTAAGATAGCCGCATGGACATGCCACATAGTACTTTAGCCCACCCGATAGTATTGCGTGACCATCCTCTAATGCATGGTAGCGCGAGTATCAATATGAGAGCCATGTGTGCAGTTCCGCGGCGATATGAGCCCCGGCGTAGTGTGAAAGCAAGAAGAGAGTCGGCTGATCGGGCTGCAACCGAAGTACGTCTGAACCGTGGGTAGGGGAAAGCGACGTCTTCTTCAACCGGGAGCGTCTTACCTTACCTCCTCCGCTCAGGCCTTACTTAGGATCAAGTTCATGAAGAACGGTCACATTATCATTCGTCTCCACCTATACTGCCGACGGAATCTTCTGCAAGCCATCCAGACCGTGGTAACGCACGAACCTCGCAGCCTTCTCCAGCGAGCCTTCGAAGCGACTCCGCATCCCCTTCCCTTGCCTTCTAAACATCGTGGACTGTTGGCGGGCATATGCATGCACCCCATCCATCAGCTCCTTCTCAACTGTCTCGTCCAGCTTCACACTCGCCCGGCTTGACCACCAGCGCGAGCGCGCCTCGCAAAAAGCGGGGACGCGAACCATCTCGTACGCCAAGTGGAATATCTCCTCCACCCACCTCATTGCTCGCGCCCGGCACTTGACGAACTCTACGCGCAAGTCTTTGGATGTATGGGTGAGTTATTCGTCACTTGGACGACAATAAGAACTGACCGTCGTTGAGTTCCAGCTTGCTTCCCGCGCTAATGCGGTACCAAATCCAGGGAATCTTGTGGTGCGTCTGGCCACTTGGTTGCTCGCCACTTACCACACTTTTTATGTGCTTGATCTCCTCGTCGTCCATCTTCAACAATATACGATGCGTCAGCGGCTTGCAATGACGATCCTCGAGGACCTCGAACGTCTCCTCCCATTTGGCCGGTACGAGTGCGCGCTGCTCATCCTCATCGAGAAAGCTGATCAACGTCGCGTAGCGTTCCCGATGATGCCTGTACATCTGTTTGGCTGTGTCCACGTTGGCCTGTATCGCCTCCTGCTTCGTACGCGCTCGCGTGCTCAAGCCCTGCCCACGAACGTGATCCGTCTTCCACTTGTCGACCGTGCCACGGACCCGCAGCTGTTGACGCAGAACGTCCAGCCAGTCCGCCATACCGGCCCAACGTAACTTCAGCTCTTCGCATGCGAGCTCGATCAGCCCGTGTGTGCGTACGACGTCGCGGTCAAGCTCAGATGGCAGGCATAACTGTCCGCCGACTACCTTCGAATCCATATCCTTGACGTCCACGTTATTGCCGCCCGAATCGTCCTCATCCTCGTCGATCGTGTCGTCGCGCGAGTTATCCACCCCCTCCAACTCCTGGATAGCGGCGTAGACCAGAGGCATCATCCACTGTTGCTCTTTGCGGAACAGTCGGATCTGCCGCTCGAGGTCCATTCGCTGCTCGAGGCGCTCCGTTTTCTGAATCAACGTCCTGTTCTTGTTGGACCGTCCCACCTTCCACCTATCGCGCGTGAGTCTGCGACGTAATCATCACCTTGAGCCACTCGCGACTTACTGTGTAACTTCGATCTTGAAGGCCATGAGGACGAAGTTTACCATCGCCGCTGTCTTACTCGACGCGCCATCTAGTGGCGCCTTGTCCGACGTCGCTTTGGCCGCGATCTCGGCACTCGCAAGCCGCGCCTTCTCCAGCGATTGCTCTGTATGCGATCAGACACGTTCGCCGGCTGCAGTAGACGAACACCTACTCTGTGTACGCGACTCGTACGGATTGAGAACGGCGTCTCGTCCCTTGATGATGGGGCGACCCAGAGCGTCAAGTATCTCCCGTTCCTCCCACGCCACCGCCTCCCCGAGCCACTCATCACACAGCCCTGCGTCCTCTCCGCGAATAACTTGCCACAACCCAGTGTAGATTTCACAATGCTCACGCGCTTCGTTCAACGCCACCTCCATCTTTTTCTCCAGCGATGAACCTTGCATGATCTGTGAGTATCATCCTACTTCGTTGCGTATGTGAGCTTCACACACCCATATTGATCGTCTTTCGCCAGTTCCAGGCGGCGGCGAAGAAGTCCATGGTATCACGCATCGTGCCGGGACCCATCTCCCTGAAGCTCGAGGACGCGGGGTTGAGACCAGCCCAAGCGCGCTCGGACGCTTCGCCGTCTGTGTTGCCTGCGCCGACTATGTATGAAATGTTGAACCAAAGTTGGCAGGAGATCATGTGGCCCGGATTGTGAAACTTTGGGATTCCGAACGTGATGTGCAGATGGTGAAGGATCTTCTGTGAGCCGACATAGATAAATGATTTAGACTCAACGCTGAGCATTCGTGTGTGCAGATTTCGAGTAAACTGGCAGACGATGTCGTAGTACAGGTTGAGGTTCGAGACGTGTACACGTCGGAGCGTAGACGCGATGATGAAGTCCATCGTGCAATATCTTCCATCTGAGCGTAAGTATGCGACCGACGTCCATCGCGGTTACCATACCTTTCGCCTTTCACGAGCGTGCCGATCGAGTTTGGCCAGAAAAATTCGTGTCGTGAGCAGAACACCGCTCCAATGCCGGTCGTTCTAAGACCCTTCCCCGCTTTCAGGTTCGCCAGCACGAGCGCACCAAATCTGTTGCAATTGCTCAACTGGCAAGGTGTTCAGACGCGCTCTACGCACTCGAGATCACGCTTACCTCTTCCTGGTATGCGCTGTTGGATGTAAAGTCTTCGTATGGCTGATACGGAACCATATATGCCATCCCGTCCCCGAGGTAGGGACTAGTTTTGAGCGTAGAGCGATTGTCTTTGTTCTTAGCGCGAAAGTTGCAGTCCGTCGAGAGCTGTACCAGGTCGTTGAAGATGCTAAGGTTTTTCTCAGTGGTCTGATGCTGCTATATGCAGACGGAGAACAAACGGGGCGGCGTCAGCTAGCTCAGGCGATATCTTGCGGATAATGTCCACGATATCCGTGTTGATACCCTTGTGCGGACATGCCGGACAAAGAACCGCCAGTTCACCTCGACCTGTCTTGTCGATGCCGCCGCGTGCGTCATGCCCACGACCACCTCGTTGGGCAAGCTGTACATGGCGGCTCTCGTGCGCTATGCGGAAGAACGTCTTTGATCGATCCTGTGTATGATGCGTGTTAGCCTGGGGTTCTAGCGAGAGACCGATCAAGCTCACAGGGATATCAATCAGCCCTGCTGGGTCGGTCAGCGCTTCCAGCGCGTTGTAAAAGTCGTACGCGTTTTGCTTCCCAGACGCGCTGTGAGCATCGAACTGATCTAGAACATCGAATGTCGCAGCAGTATGAGGGTTCTCCGTTGTCGACGGCCACATTCGAGCAGCTAGGAGCTGATCACGTATGGGCACCTTAGTACCAGTGCACCCGCAGAACTTGGCGCTGATCTCGTGAATACCGTTCGTGTCAATCACGATAAACTTCGGATTCGACCGTCGCACAAGACCGCAACGACTCCCATCCCAATGTCCGAAATTTATGATCTGCCCCATTTGTCGCAGACTCGTCGGCTGCCATTCATCGTTGACCCACACCTAAACAAGAGGCTTCAGGTATAAGTCATCGACGTCAGCACTTTCTACGTACGTCCACTCTGTCTAGCGGGCGTATCTTGTGCGCACTGAGCATGCAAGCCGCACAGAACCAGGTACATGGCCAACATCCCGACGTACAGCGATAGAATCGAGTGGCTGCTTCAGGGTCCGGGCAAGTCGGGCACGTACAACCTTTTACCTCTCCACGGACCACAACACCGGGGCGGCCAGCCAGACGAAGCTTAGCAAACATGTACTCGTCGCGCAATGGTATCCAGTGGACGATGGGGTGATTCTACCCACATCCTTTACATCAGTATTGACTATACAGGCGCGTCGCCGGCACTGGTCCACGTACCTTGATGGCGGGCGTATCCTCTCGCGACTGAGAAGTCTCGACGGGGCTCTCTATGGGTAGTGGAGCTATGTCTTGTGCAGGCGGCGCCTGGATCTGCTGAGTCATATGCACGGGTAGCGTGCGCTCGATCTCCTCCAGTTGCGTCTGTGGCGTAGGTTGCGAACTTGTCGCGAGCGGGACGATGCCACCCCTGCCAGCTTGAGTGACCGTGTCGAAAGCTCGGGCAGGGGTCATCTGTTCGTGATAGCCGGTGGCTTGGCCTCTGCGCTTGCCTTTCGACGGGATAGGCATGGCCGGGCCTGTGGGTCGTTGCGCGGGCGGCATAGTATCGACGAGGGTCAATGGATGGCAATTTTGCCGACGGCTGGATATAAAGCTAACTACGGATACAAACACTTTCCAAAGTGGGTACAGGAGCGGCACGGAAACTAATGCGCCTGCTGAACCTCTGGTGCACGGTCCGTGCTGACGGCCGCGAGTTTCGAGTCCCGCTCATCGTCCGTACGAAGGCCAAGACGCCTCGCTAACAATCCATTGTATGCATACCGCGCAGTACAAGCGCTACAAAACAGAATCCGGGATAAAGCCGTGTATGGAGAGCACGCGTTACGGGAATAATTAGTTGTGGGTCCATGGATGTTCATGTTGCAGACGCCGGGATCCGGCGCCCCGACGCTGCCGTGATTCGCGAGATACATAGCATACGTATGATACGGACAAGGTAAACTACCGCCTGCGAACTAGCGGTCTGAACTGCGTGCGCAGATATCCCTCGCCTGTAGTCCAATACTCGATCTGCTCTTCCGCCGCAGTACGTCGAACATCGCAAGACGATCTGACGTTCGTGTTGTCGTCCTCGAACTTCTGGCCGGCGCTCTTGACGCGAAGCATCGCCTTCTCCGGTAGCATGACAACAGAATGGCGGTGGTGCAGGTCGGTATACAAAGACGCGCGGTGTTCAAACAAGCTGTCCACGCGGTCGACCTTCAGATTGATGAGCTTTGCACCGCGTTCAAGCGCACACTCGCGTTGGACGCGGCTAGCGTCGGCTCGAAGCGCATGCTCAATCTTCTGGACGTCCTGGATAGTAGACGTCGCCCAGGATCGCGCCTCGCAGGATAGCGCACGTTGTACCGCAACCCGGCATTTCTCTTCGTGTTTTTCGGCGCTGGTGATACGGACCCGCGGTTTGCCTGGCCCGCGCCCTCCGTCCGGCTCTTCCCAGTGATAAGCAATCTACGCGTAATCAGCGTGAGCATGGGATGGGATTGACACACAACGCACTCGTCCATCAATCCTTTGGCCGTGAAGTATGTACCGGATACCGAGCCGCCAGAAATGCGCGCGCTGATAGTGTTCAAGAGCCACGATATCCACGACCTCTCGGACAAAGGCAGGCTGAGGCGCCGCGGCATTCCCACCGTCACCCATGAAAAGACCCGTATCCTCACCCATGGCCCGGGTAAGCATTCCCTTTTGCGCCTCGGTAAGGTTGTCTAGGACGATAACCCAATCGCACGCGTAGTGCGGGCAATGCCACACGTCCGAACCAGGGAGATAATAGTCTGAAGGCCGACGCGATAAAGAGGTCGCGACAGAACACAGTCGCATCGTCAGGTACCCAGGCGTCTCAGGAACGCGCACGCTGGCCGGAATGTGCGCGTCACGGTTCACGAAGGGGCCTTGGATCGTTTGCTCGTGGTCTCGTACAATGGCGGGAAGACCGATCCCATCGACGTTGACATCCTCCGCATGCCAAGAAGGTGTACGCACGCGAGCAATGTAGCGGAGGGCCAAGTCCGACTGTAATAACAAAGATCAGTTTTGAGTTACTCACAGCGTTTGGCAAAGTTAAAGCTGCGTACCGCTTTCGCCCAAGTATACACGTCGTCCTCTGCTAGGATCGGCGCGGCAGCGCCCGCATCCTGCATATCAACGTCAGACGCGGACATGATGGCTCGAAACAAGAGAAAAAAGTGAGCAGACGCGGCGCACAGGCCGAAAAGTTGCTGTCGGCCGATCGGGCCGATATTCCGAAGGAGCGAAACGATTTATATGACATCATTATGTAACAGCGTACTGTACAGCCAGTGAGGCCCGGGTTTAAGGTCCTAGATACATGCGCGCCCAGCGCTGCTTCCGCAGCCGCCATTCTCGTTTGAGCGATCGACATTCATCGCGAGCACCTTGCCACGCCAACCGCGTAGCATCGACGGCTTCCGCATCGACGTGCGCCACGAGTGCGCGTCCAGTGTCAATGATAGTACGCCCTGCACCAAACATCCCACGGACAAGGTCATCGCGAGCGCTGACGGCGCCCCGGCGCCAGCTTGTCAGATGAAAGCGTGCTGCGTGGAGACCTTTGTCCGCGAAGGACAGCATCTTACCCGCCTTCCACATGCGAAACCTGTATTGATCCGTGCGCTCCGCGTCTTCGATTTCTTGACGTAGAGGACGGAGATTGACTTGCGCGTTCAACCGGTCTTGATCCCACCACATGCCGGGCGCACCCTGTTGATCGTCAATGCCTGACGAACACGCATAGAGACACGATGATCACCTGGTACGTAGACGAAGGGTTGGGGAACCACAACCGAACACAATGAGTGCGCAGGTGTTCCGCGTAGTGGCTCCAACCGAGACAGTCGACGGAGCGCATGAATTGCCAGGGGTTCTCTCGGTCCAGTCCAACGCGTCCGTCCGCCGCAACAGAAATGCCCGAATCAGACCCGACTCCCAGATATGACGCGATAAGAGCTCGCTGTTTGATGGACAAGTCCAGCGGGTCGACGATGTAGTCGCACTCGGGGCACGACCAGACGCCCATCTCGGGCAAGCTCCCAGACGGTCGATCGTAGACATTGGGGACCGACGGAATTGCGGTCTTTACAGCAGCGAGGAGACGCTCGTCGTGTATGAGGCGATAGGGGTTATCCGCAGGGGAGCGGAGATAGGGCGGAACGTGAGCATCGGGAGCGTCAAAAGTGCTGCGCGAGGGAGTCGTAGGAAGATACGGGCTCGACGCCCTGGTGTAATCAGTCCAGTCTGCCGAATAGTTGTCGAGAGCAGCAACTATGTAGTGTGCCATCTGTATCGAGCGAGTGAGCTGACTGTATTCGGACAATTGTATGAGACGGCAACAGACCACGAACGCCCCGTCCGTAGCGATCTGCGAGGTGAGGTTGCCCACGCGCGGTAGACCGCGAAGGGCCTGCTCGAACTCGGGCGGAGCGTAGCTGAGTAGATCGTCGGCCATGGTGGGAATGGCGTAGACAGCCAGAGGGGGTCATCGCGGTCTGCGGGTTTATATTCGCCCCGAAGAGCGGATGCTCTTTGCTTCCACCCTCGACCGGGTTGGCGGTACGGACCACGGAGCGGGAGCGGTGCCGCGCATGGCGCGATGCCAGCAGGGCGGGAAGTACAGAATCTGGACAACGTTGCGGCGAAGGACAAGCAAGAGAGTCGGCTGGTATGAATTACTAAGAGCACTACCCCAAGTTCACACGCTTGCTCGCTGACGCGCTAACCGAGCTTCCGTTCTATTGGGTTGACATACAATTTCAGTCTATCGATCTACACGATCCCAACCTCTCCATCAAGCGCCTCGTTGCAAATCCCTCGTCCGTTACCGCGACCTTTATCCGTTCCAAAGGATGCACTGCGGTGACCCCCGGGAGTGCCCGAAAGACAGTCAGCCAGTATACCTCGCCCTCGTCAAAGAAATCCAAGGGCGCGTGGAAAGAGAATGCTGTAGGAGGACCTGCTCCCAGTCTTGCCGTAAAGGGCGCAAGGTAGTCCTCCCAATCGGCGGCCTCCGGATCGAACCCGCTGAGCGAGATTTTGATGACCGGTTCCGTTCGATTCGAACGATGCCAGAAGTCCAAAGTCAGGTCGGCGTCGCTCAGGGTATAGCCAGAGAATGTTACATCCAGCGTATCGTCTTCTACGTCTTCAATGCTGATCTTCACGGCGTTCACAACGTTGCGCGCGGTCGCTACGATCTCGATTAGGATTACAATATGTCGATGCGTGATTGGGAACATACGAATGCGGCGCAGGACTGCATCCAAAGCATTTGCGATAGAGACCGAGCCCGGCAGACGTCTACAGTCAAGTGCGAGGGACACCGACACATCGGATGGATACTGGATAGACCCAAGCATCTTAATGTACGAATAGACGCAGCCCTTGAGTACCAATCGGCGCAGGTTGGGCATTGCGAGCCGTGTCCAATCGGGCCCTGCGAGAATGCGAGAGAAATCGGCGGTACGAGGAGGCGAAAGCATGGCGTCACAGAGCTCCAACTCGACAAGGGTCTGGGCGTGAGGTCCGACGAGCTGGGTGGCGAGTACCGACGGGTGTGGGCGCCGAGTGGCGGACGATGGGCTCCATTTCACAGAGATGGACTGCAGACGCAGAGCCTTGATGGGACACCAGCAGCACTTGAAAAACACCCGAAGGAGTAGTGGCGCCCGCAGACGCCCCGAGTACGACGGCTCATTGATCTCTCTGAGAGGTGGAATAGCGGCACCACGGTTAGAGCGCCGTTCGAGAATGGGACAAAGGTTGGGCTCACCTCATCAAGTTCGCGCCGTCCGGGGCCGACAATCGCAGCTCCTCGAGCTGGCTCAGGGATGCCGTCTCAGAGAGGAGGAGGAGATGCCGTAGATGTGCAGCGACGTCGCCCCGGTTCACAACCCAGATGTGTGAGCATCTGGAGAAGTCAGCGGCTTTCCGGATCATCTCCGTACGCGCGATGTCGAGGGTGTCATTGACCAGGGTCCTGGACGATAGCGCAGGAAACGAAGTCGTTAGGCGATAGAGGAGCGTGAGGTCCCCCGCCCTTTCCTGTTCAGAGTCTCGATCAGCCAGATAGTCCGCGGACAAAGCGACTTAAGCTAACCCTGAACACGGCCTGTGCGCCCGGGAACTGCGTATAATGCTGGGCGAACACAGACCTCTTGTCAAGCATGATATGACGAAAGCGCCGGCAAACCATGCTTATCGATAACCAGCCTCGATGCGGAAGGACAACCTCATCAACCGCGACGACTATGTCGAATATCGAGGATAATACAGGTTCGGGTAGGTCGAGCACATTACGCCTATGAGATATCGTGAGAAGAGTGTACGGTACGTGATATCTGTACCGTACGAGGGTTGACCGAGGGCCAGCGAGCTCAGATGCTGTATCAAAGAGTCGTCAGAGTGGGACATGTTGGTCGGCGTTGAAGAAACGCGATCGAGATTTCAGAGCCCTGACGCTCATGAACCATCGCGATGTCGATCTTCCGCAGACCCGTTATGCGGCGGAGTTGAATGCCATGCACAGCTGTTTGCAACAGAGCGAGGTTCGGTCTAACAGGCGCGGATAAGACATATATGTTCGAGCTTTTGAGCTCGTGCGCCGTTGCTGTCAAGCGATGACGGGGAATAGGACGGATATGAGACTCGGGACTGGGAAAGAAATGACGTGAATGGTGTGGGCCCAGTAGTGTATACGCATAGTAAATGCCATGCGCCTATCTGTCAAAATGCCACCCACAGAGCGTGCGTGAGCTGTCAGCGAGCACATGCGGGGTAACCACACGGCGCATGTGGCAGAATATCTAGAGACATCTACCTCAGGGTGCTCCTGGCTCGCTCTCGTTTCCCGACACCGCTGCGTAAGTTGCTAGACCGTAATAAAGCTGCATCTGTAGTACGAGGAACCAGATGCATGACATGGTTCAGAACAGCTTCTGTTGACGCCCGCTTGGGAACTTAAGAAGCGGGCGCCTATACACGGATTGCGGCCCGACATCATTACACGCAGCATCAAGAAGGTTGCGACTTGGAAACGACGTCGATGGATCCATTGTCTATTACTACTGTTGTCACTGCTGAAGCCAACGCTTGGCCCACAAGGGAGGGCGGTTGCTTCAGGATCGCAATCATCTGTGCACGACTCCTTGTTTACGGGTCTATGGCGCGTTCGCGCGGTTACACCAGGAAGGGTTCGCTGTGCCTAGCTCGCAGGAGCTCCTCTACTATATCTTAACTTACGAGGAGCCCGCCCTCGGTAGAACCCGCCTGACATGCGTATGCTACGTCTGCTTTCAACTCTCTTAGCAGCTGTTCGCCATCCTGGACCCTATCCAGAGCCCGAGTGTCTGGTGTGTAGTCGTACAGCTCTATCCTGGTCCCCACGCTGACGTGCGCCACCACGCAGTGGATTTTAGAGTGTACATCTCCGAGGAAGTTGAAACGCTGCGGTGGAGTGGCAGCGCTCTGGGGGACGGCCGCCCGGAGCCGAACGGGCCGGCGCGCGTTGACCGCGAAACGCCAGAGTCTTTTCTCTCCTTCGACCTGGCCTACGACGTCGACGCTCCGAGTACAAATATGCCGAAGGCTCCTGCAATCAACGGCATCCGTGCCGCGTTTTTAAAGCGCTTTCTACCTCTGCTGCTAGCTATCGACAACCGTCCTAACTCGAAAGGACAAGCCGCCAACGACGAACGACACGACTTCTACGATCGTGTAACGCGCGCTCTGGTGCTTTGTTTTGGTCAATCTGATCCGCTGCATAACGACACACCAGGGGATCTCTTTGACGTTACCTACGATGAGATCCCTGCCGCAAACGCCATGCCTCCATTGACCGAAGAAGAGGCGGAGAAAAGGGACGCCGTGATAGCTGATTTGACGAACGTCAGTCATCCGGTTGAACGTCACTATCTCACCTTTGACTGACTACCGTGCGAGCAGACAGTACACACTTGGTACAAAAATAGGCGTACCGAGGCGAACAGCGCCAAAGGCGTCGCCAAGCTTACGAACCGCCAGGTCGAACGCGTTGTCGCGGCACACGCGCGAGTACCGCAGGCTCCTAAAGAGCTCGATATATATCAAAAGTACTTCAAGGATCAGTATATCGACGCTTTCAACACTTCGTGGGCGGATCGACTGGATTCCGTACGCGACGACGCCAAGGCTCTGTTGCGCATGCGCAAGCGCAAGTCTGGACAAGAGCGCGTCTTCGCTTCGGGACGCTGGTTGGAGGAGGACGAATCAGTCAAGGCCGATGTGCGTGCGAAGTGCAAGGAGGTACACGACGATGAGCTCAAGAGTTATCGTGCTTTGTGGGGCTGTCCGCACGACGCTTTACCGAACTCACGCATGTGGTACGTGGTGGTGGATGTCAACCCGCCGTTGATGTACTCACCAAGTCCTTTACACAGGGCAATTCCAGAGGCGGGAGCATTCTTCGCGAGTCTCCTGCACTGGGCTGCATCACGCTTTGGCGTCGCGTTGGCGCTCACGATTGCGGGCCCTACCGATAGTGGGGAGCCAGAAGCTAATAGGTAAGTGTGCTAGCGCGCCATACTCTTGTCCTTTCAGACCCGACGACCTAACATATCGATTACTGCAGTATTTACGCTGCGGGCCACTCCGTGGATGGCGCGCCCGAGCTGGCGATTTTCGCCGACGCGAGCTTCAAAACCGGTAGAATCCGTTTGAAGCAGTATGCGCGCGACTTCTTGACCGGGGAAGTCCCTGTTCCCGATACTGCAGAGCCAGAGGATGGCTCTGCAGCTGAGGAGGGCGCTGACAAAGACGGTGTTGGTGCACACGTCAAGGTTGCTGTGCTAAAGCAGGGCGGGAAGCGGGTGGGGGAGGACGAGGACGGGGACGGGGACGAGGACGAGGACGAGGAGGAGGAGGAGGAGGAGGAGGCGGTGGTGGATGATGTTGACGATGGGAAGGGTGCTGGGGAGCATGTAACCCGGGCGAGCAAGGTAGGCCGTTAAACCGACCGTGACATGTGCCTGGTAGCTGACAGCTGCGTTAGACGCCGAAAGCGGGACCCGCGCAGATCTCACATGCACAAGAAGAAGATCATCTCGAGCCTCCCGTGAGTGGGTATTGTTCAACGTCGGTGGAGAGGACTCACGCGTGCCCCGTAGGAGCAACCCACAACCGTTCGTGATCGGAGGCGCCCTGTCACGTCTGCAGGCCGCAATGACGGGGAGAATACGCGCTCGCGAACGTACGAACCTCGTACCGGAACACAGTCAACCACGCCGCGCCGGCCCCATAGCCCACTGCTGCGCGCTGGAACCCATTCGGGACGCATGGCAGAGAACGATGGTGCCGAGCTCGGGCGCGGTCCGGGTAGCCGGGTGGAGCGTACTCCGTTCAAACGCCGCCCTCGCGCACCATCCCGCGCGCGAACGCCATCTGAAGGTGGCGTCGGGGACGTCGACCTCGACTTCGACTTTGGTCTCGACCCTGATTTCGATATTGATACCAACTTCGTCCGCGGCGTCGCCGAAGAGGACCAAGACGAGTACGACGACGCGCCCGCGTCAATGCGGGGTCTCAGTCCATCGTTCAGCAGCGCATACGAGGCCGGGGGGAGCGATTTGGATACCGCATTCGCAAATCTGCTCAGCGACGACGATGAAGCTACGTGGGCACCATCACACTACGCAGCGTCGAGGCGCCGGGCTGCAAGTGCCCGCAGTGGCTCCCCAGAGACGACGAGCTCCGCGTATGCCGTCGAACGCCTACTCCCCGAACGCAAACAAGTTACTCGAACGCAGAGCGCCGAGGAGGTGGGCGCTGCCGCAGAGGACGAGTCGCTACTCGCCGATTCAATGTTGTCAGGCGTCTTCTCTGATCGTCGGCAAAAGAAGACGGTGGCGAAGTCGACGCGGGTTGACCGTATTGGAGGAATCTCACGCATGCGAGCTGGTGCGAGCCGCAAGAAGGAGGCGGGTATCGCCAGCGCCACTCCCAATCATGATCAGGAGGATGCGGCAACGAGTAACGGGAGCCAGGGAAGACAGGCAGGGACAGGAGGGAAAGCGAAAAGGAGCAAGAAATCCGGAGAGAGTACGAGTATCGCTGGCAAGGTGACTGCCTTGATGCGTGCTCGAGAGTCCGATCGTGCGCCGGAAACGGGAGGCGGCAGACGTAGGCACCGCCCAATGCAAGTGCGGTCACCCTCGCCGGCGGATGAGGATGTCGAAATGGATACGGTCGTAGCGCCGGCTGCGGGAGCAAGTGAAGGGGCACAGGCGGAGGCCGATGTGAGCGCGGATGATATCCTGATGCAGGTCAGTACACGTTCTCAATTGCATGCACGTTTGCCTGATTGTCGGGCAGGGTTGGTTGCGCGACCACCTCACGACACCACCGAAGGACGTCAAAGGCGCGTGGAAGACGTACGTATCGGCTCCGGCGGGAGCTATGTCCAAGCGCCACAAGGTCGTCGAGGTCATCACTGCGTTGCCGAGCGCTGCGCGCGTCGTCTACGCGGACCTTGTGGATAGCATGGAGGATTTATTGAAGTGCGATGACTCATGGGTACGTCCGCAATTGTCTGTGAGGCGTTATGCGATCTCGTGCTGAGTTGGTCTAGGATGGCGAGGGCGGTGGTCACCTCGATAAAGCGCGGCGTCCGCGTCCGGTAACCTCGATGATCAAGGGTCGTGGGCGCTTGTTGAGCGAAAAGGACGTGGGAGGGGAGTGGGGAAAGAGCGTGCGGGATTGGTGGCTGAGCCTGCAGCCCCCCGACAGAGGCACCGACGTCTCAATCGCCGAGTTGGCGGAGCCCACGGAGGATATGGAGTGGGGATGCCTTAAGGAGGCGTGCGGGTACAAGGGCCCATTCTTGCTGGTCTGGTGCATGATGCATTGGGTGAAGTTCGACGGCGATTTGAGCGAGTGGCAGGACGTGGCGGAGGATATGACACGCGTCTATCGGGTGTTGCAAGACAAGCGCGTCTCTGCTTCGACCGTTGGAAGCCGCAAGCGGCGCGCTGTGGATGATGGAGATGGTGACGGGCGGCAGACGAAGAGTGCAAAGCGGTCGAACAATCCGCGGGCGGGCCGGCGGTAAAATAGGATGTTAATGAATATACGTATGTAGACGTAGTGCGTGTTGATTTCTAGTAATGACATGATGTCATGTCCATAGACGTGGATAAAATATGAAAGGGGCGAAAGACAAATATTTATTGACAGTTGGGCGTTGCTAGAGTGTGTATTCTAGGTAAAGAAGGAAGGTTGCTCATCAACGTTGATGGATTCGGCACACTGGGTGCGAACGCGTCCCGGCCATTTGTCTAGCACCAAGGTTAGAGCGTGACAAAGTGATACAAAATAATACGGACCGGCGTCGGGACGAGCGTAAGGATAGAGACGTTGAAGGTCGTCATGGAAAACGCGTACGCAGGAACGCGCGATCACTATGGAGGGCACCGTGCGGGGAATTTGGAGCTGAGAGACGACAAACGGCGACCAGGACTCGAGTTCCGGTGCGCCAACCGTGAGTATTTTGACCCGTTCGGACTGTTTGACCTCGGCCGAGAGCAAGGGGCCTTCGTGCGCGTCCATTGCAATGAATCGGGCGCCTTTTTGGGCGTTCAGCGTCAAGGTCATCGGCGCCTGCTTGTCCTAGCCGCGCGAATGTCAGACGTCGGCAAAACCCCTAACCCAATGAACGAACCTCATAAAAAACATGCACGACGAGTGCAGGATAAAGGGCCGGCGCCGGTACGATACGCACAAACTCGACGCTGGGACTACGGCTACGAGCGCGTGCAGGAGCGGCGATCTCCCTTTTCTTCACGGCCTTCGCGCGCTTGGCCTTCGGCGCAGCCGTACGCGTACGCTTCGGTGCCGCGGTCTGGCTGGCGCGAGCGCGCTGAATGGAAGCCAAAGATACGTGTCATCGTGAATACCATGCGCTAGACGAATGGAGCGCCGGCGCGGGCCATACCTTGGCGGGGAGTTTGATCTTGTTTTCGGTGACGAATTCGGCGATGTTGCGGCGATCCTCGCGCGAAAGACTCCGGGTGATGTATACAGGTTTGCCGTCCGAGGCGGTAGACAGACCCGAGTCGCGCTCGCGACGCTGGAAACATTAGACAAGTGTGGCGAGGGATGAAAGACCGCGAACTGACAATCATGTACCAGCGACCGATATTGATATCGAGAGTTTTGAACTGTAGAAAAGGACCGTACAGAACCTGATTGTTATCTTCACAGACTAGACGATGGGCGTAGATAGCATCCTGATCGTAGTCGGAGGACAGCAGCTCGACGTGTTCGTACAGCTGGGCCAAAGGGCCTTCAGTGGGAGGTCCTCGCGAAGGCATGGCGGTTCGGGTACAACACGACGAGCGACGAAAACGAAAGCCGTCCCGAGCCGAGGCATTCACGCGAAGGAGTTTCCCGTCGGAATAGTGATCGGGGGGAGAATCGGCAGCGGAACGGGCCGTCGAGGTGTTGCGTGAATATCTAGTCCTCTCGATACTATAGAGCGGACAGAATAGAATCGATAGAATATTGAGCTATTGTGCCTGCGCGCACAAGGTAGGTGAGTGAGTTATACAAAGAGTTCGTACAGTGCGAGGCCAGGGGGATCAAGGCGCCGGGGAACGCGATGGTTTGCTTCCGCTGGCGGAATACCAGATGCGTGGCGTGCGGGCGCTGCCCGCGTCGTAAACACAAGTATTCAATGCTGATGTCCAGTGTATTGTAATTACATAGATACAGAGGTAGGAGATCAATGAGGGAGCGATATGGGTACAACGGATATGGAGGTAGTGGATGTTCGAGTTCAACGTTGAACACGCATAAGGGCGTCAACTGGAATTCGCGCGCAGTGCATGTGATCGCGTCAGCGGCCCGGAACGGCGGGCGTCCGCACTTCGTGCTCAACGTCCACGATGGGCAGCTCCGCGTCCGCCCATGCGCCCTCTGCCCTTCTTCGAAGATCCCTCGGGCTTCGCTCACTGGGGTTCCCCTCGCAAACTCAGCATTGGCAGACCGAGCCACCCTATGCCTGCCACGGAGAAGGTCAAGAATGCGGTGAAGGTGGTGGGCGAATTACTGCAGGTGCGTCAGCCTTGTCGCGCTAAGGAATACATTCCACTGACTGTCATGACTGCGAGACGCGGACCACTGGGAGGGGACACGGGAAGAGGGATGGCGAGGAAGCCAGTGACGTCCTTTTGCGCGCGAACAGCGGGCTCGCGCGAGTCGTGTAATGCCGCGGGGCTCGATGGCGGGAAGTGTCGGGAAGGTACGGCGGATGGCGGGATGGCGGCGGCCAAGGTTGCGCGACGATAGATCGAATTGTCGGTTGGTTGACGGCGTGCTAGGGTTAGAGCTTTTATTCGATAAATTTTTATTGTAACTCGTGTTATGCAGCTATGTGACGTGCCGTTCTTGCGTGACGACGAGCGGAAACTGCCGTGTGAGTGGGATGACGTAGATTGAGTGGGATGCAACCTCTGAAGGGGGTTCGGAACGGCCTGACCCTTACTTGGCTGGAGGTTGGATCCCCCCAACTACTACGGCTGTGGCAGTCTTCTCGACGAGTGCCATGCCGCATACTTTTCCGCTAGACGCGCTCTCCTAGTACCTCGGTAACCCACGCTCGCCGCCCCTTTGATCTTACGGCTGACGTGCACCGCTATACAGACTACAAGCAGAGCTTCGTGGCCTCGACCCCACACGCGCCGAGCTCGTCTCACTCGCCCGCTCAGGATGTGGACTACTACGCGAGGTGTGCGCCGACGAGTGGGAGCTCTTCGGCGCATTCTTCAAAGGAAAGGCAGGGCGCGCCGCGATGTAGTACGCCCCCCCGTTTGTCAACCCGTCGACCAAACCAGCATCCTGACGTCTTGTCATAGTACATATCTCGAGGGTCTATGCGATCATCTGTACGACGACCTACGACCACGCATTCTACACGAAAGCCGGCTTTCCGCACTGGCCGAGGTCTGTGCTGTACTCAGAGCGCTCATGGTGCTCGATGCGCCGGCACCCGGCACTGATCAGTCCGATTCCGATGAGGACTCAGAGGAGCTCAGTATATCCGATGCAGGTAAGTTCCCTCACATTGGATCACGGAGGCACCGAAGCTAAATACCTCTACAGACGGCACAAAAGCAAAGAAGGACAAGGGTCTCGGTCCACCACCAGTCGCGGCGCTTCTTGCCGCCGTTCTGCAAGACGCCCAGACGCGCCTGTTCTTTCGCGCTCAAGCGGCCATTCAGAGCGAGATCCGCGGCTTTGTACCGAAAGATAGCGACCTCGCATATCCCGCCATCCTACTTGGTGAGTGCTCATCACATTGTACGGGGAGACGGGGCTGATGTTGAGGATCAGACAAGGACCGCCAGGACAACTCCGTTCCGCCGCGTGAGAAGGATTTAGGCGCGCGTCTTCGCCGGCGCTAAGCTCGAGCGCCGCGAGACGTGGTACCCTACACTCGGTCGCGCCGTATGGGTCCTGAGCCAGCTTGGCGAGTTCGTGCAGGTACAGTATACCTCATTTCTACCACACCATACAGGACTGACGATGTCTCCTAGCCGGCAATATCGCCGACCTTGCCTCGGAAGCGCTCGCGCTCACACGCGCCTCCCTTACCCCGGCCGCCTCCCACCTCCCTCCACTCGACGGCGCCCTCTTCCGCGCACGCCACTTGCTCATCCTCAAAGAGATTGCACGCGGTCTTGACCTTGGGCTCGGCGCGATCCCCGCGTCCTCATCGTCATCGACCGCGCCACCGCTCTCACGATCGGTTTCGACATCGTTACCGCCGACGATGTCGTATGGTACGGTGACGCCCACCAACAATGACGGCGGACTCGCGGAGACGTTTTCCAATCTTCTTGGGGAGCGGGTGGGATGTTGCCGCTTGGTGTGCAGGATAGTCTTGGGTTCGCGAGGCCGGGCGAGGGCGTTGATGCGAAACATGTGCGTATTCCTGGTCCCGTTAGGGTCCAGGTTTCGCGGACAGAAAGTCTGCTCGGAGTCCGGCCCGCCAAAACAGTGCCCGTGGGAGCACATCATGCGACAGCCAATGCGTACCGTCGTGGAAAAGATCCCCGAGGGCAGCCCGAGGTGGCGCGGCGCGCAGCCTACGTGTCCTTACTCCCGCGGCTTCAATACACTTCCGGCGGTGCAAGCCCCTTACAAACGAATTCTTCGCAGCAGTCTGTACTCTCTACGCATCGTCGGCCACTTCGCCCTTTGT